GAGCACAGAAATGGAACCTTTCAAGGACTCTTCTTGTCAGTGAGTCTCTTAACTCCCGTCTCCTGTGTATATAGATGGTAATGGAGGAGGAGCATGCGTCGTTTCCTTTTTACTTCAGTCAGAAATTATAATATGCTCCTTACTTTTCTGCTTCTCTGTACATTTCGTTGTTTCTTCGTTTGTTAGGTTTGGAAACTTCAAACTTATTTAGGTCTATATTTGTGAGCAATTTGGAATTTCTTCTAGTTTCATTGTCTGCTTTGTGTTGATTTTGGAGTGGAGAACAGTCTTCAAAAGATTTGAGAATTGTGTTTGTGCTGTAACACTAGACCGGATCGGATCAATATGAATCGACGAGTTGAAGAAATATTTGGATAATGGGAATTCGTTTACTCAGTCTTAAATGCATTCATGGGATTTGTTTGTGTTCGGATACTTAGATGTCTTAAATATTTCAGATAAATATTCTTGAGGATCCTTTAAGTGATAATACTTTATAGAGGTCTGGACAAGTAATAAGACAAAACTATGACTTAAACAATTAATGGAGTTATTATCTCTTGCTAGGAGTTGTTATGCTTCTGAGAGTAGTGAGTATAATACTAGGAATAATAACTAAGTGTCTTTTATATGTGCTTTAACCCTAATTTGCTAGATTGGGGATTTCAAACGGTAGACTGCTTCTTTGAACATGAAGTTGTATTTATACTCTTTATGTGCATTGGGAATGGCCTGTCCATTGGTTAGCTGTTTATGGATTTGAGGGTATTGATGCATATGCATGCCTCGAAGAATTTACAAATGATTATTATCTTGCTTCCTATCTTGATCTTTTGCGTGCTTTGGAAGGAGCAGCATAGAAAATTGTTGGGCATCAATCTTTGTTTATAAAGCATGAATTGTTACAAACACTAAACTTTTGGGTCAATGCTAACTTCTCTGTAGATGCAAAATAATTTGATTGAGAGAAGTGATTTCTTTCATCTAGAAACCTTGTCTACGTGGGTGGCATACTCTTTTGGTGCATATTGTTCTTGTCATATTATAGTGGCTTTCTATTCGCCAATTTCATGAAAATTTTCGTGAATATTTTGCTGATTGCCATATTATCAATCAGTTCTGTAGCTTGATTATCTACAGGATCAAGAAAGGAAAGAATGTTGGGATGGTGATTATGGTAATTTTATGAATTTGCTGATAATATGCATGGCTTGCACATGATTTCTATTGTATGAAGTAACTGCTTTCATGTTGTTATATAGTTTAAGGAAGTTAAGTTGGAAGAAATGTGTTGATTTAAAACATGATTTACAAATATCTAGCCTATGCATAGCATGACAGGATACATGTTATTCCAATGCAAGTAAAAATTAATCCTCTTATGGAATAGATAATAAGTTGTCTATAAAAGAATCTTCTAAATTGCATGATGATGAGAAATCTATTGATAATAGTAGTTGAAGTTAATTCAATTATTTACTTCTGCTTGGGGTAAAAAGTTACTTAGTAGTGCTTTTATTTAGTAGTCAAGAGAAATTATGTCCGATGAACTTTTTGCAAGTATGAAATATTTGTACATCGGTATAGAATAGAATAATTAGATTAATAATCAGCAATCTTGTTGGAAAGGCACATTGGCTTTCTTCTTTGGTTCGTTCCCCATTTACACATCATGAAGTTACTTAGATTGTAAGTAAATGCTAGAGAATGGGCATGTCAATCACAGAGTAATATGTTTAAAAAATGCTAAGGATTTCTGACGGCTTTGCTTGATGGTAATTTTTTTAGCATAACGTCCTTGTCTCTGTACCTCGGATTTTCTTCGCTGACTAAAGATTTTGAGGTAAGCATGATTAGAAAGCTTACATAATTTATCAATTGTTGATGTGAATAGCCTGATTGGTCCATAAAGACAAGATTGGGGGATACACCATCCCTTCAGACAATGAAATGATTCTAC